TCCTTCTGGGTGGTCGTGAGGAGTCCATGATAGCCACATATACTTATTTGTATGCTAATATATGCAGGTGTGCTCACGCATATAAGCACTTTGTAAACAGGTCAATGCGATTTGAACAGTAAGGGAGCCTATAGTTCAGTGGTTATCAGCCTGGGATCCAGACTCTGAATGCCCTGGTTTGAAGTCTGATTCCATGACTTGCCAGCTGTTTGTTCTGGGGAAAATCAACTAATCTCTCTGCAAAATGGAGATTGTTACGGTACCTAGCTCATCTTATTGCTGTGAGGATTACATGAGATGATATTCGTGTGTGTGTGCATGTGTGAGTGTGTGTATTATATATGTGTGTGTCTATAAATAATACATTTGTGTATACTATATATGTATGTGTACATGTATATAACCACATGCAAATATATACACACATGTGTAAACACATACCTATATGTCTATCGCTTAAACTAGTGACATATAAGAGCTTAATAAACTTGATTCATTGTCATTGTTGTTATTCACTTGATTTTGTATGACCTTTCCCTTCTGCATACCTAGTTCAGTAATACTGCCCTGGACGAAGAACCCTCTTGGGAAGTGCTTCCAAGGCTTTCAGAAAGATCATTCTCTATGACAAATTGGACCAAATAACCCCAAGCTTCAACCCATCAGTAAAAGAAAGCAAATAGGGTCCTTTAAGATGTGCTACCTGCCATCCCCCCAATGCAAGGTCCACCCCCCAATGCAAGGTCCACCCACCCAGGCATCTCAGGTTTAGACCCTGCTGCCTTGGGCCTTCTGCGTGCCTCTTCTCTGGGCTAATTCTCAATTGTCGTACAATTCCCATAGTGAGTATGGCGAGGAAGCCTTCCCTGCCAACTCCATGCCCCTGCCCCACCCCCACCTCAGGCTGGGCCAGTGCCCCTCCCTGGAACTTCTGCAGGTCGCTCGCTGTGTGGCTCTGTCACAGTCTTCATACTGGGGTGCAATCATTTGGCCCCTAGAATGGGTGCCTCTTGCACCAGGAAAGCTGTTCAGATGCGGGGGCAGAGTTTCATCCATCATTTTCTTCCCAGGGACTGGCATACTGCTTGGCCCAGATGGATGTTGAAAAAATAAAGAGCCAATTCAAATACTATGAAAAGCAATCTTCTAATTGCTTTAAGATAATTTATTATGAAGCCACAGTGGTATTTCCCTGCTTGGGCACTATCAAACTTACCAGGTTTTACACTGAAATGCCTTTTATTTTCTAAAGATCTATAACACCATCCTTAAAGGATGGAGATTTGTCAGCACTGAGTATATAGGACAGGTTGAACATCTGGTTTCAAAGTAAATTCCCTTGGAAATTGGAAAGAGGAATGAGACACCTAAAAGAGACCAGGCACAATTAAATCCTTTATGAACATTTTCTCATTTTATGCAAATAAGAGAAATAGGTATCATCAGGCCTATTTTACAAATTAGGAAACTCAGATCCAAAAAGTTAAGTAGAAGGAGTTTAAGTAACTTGCCTAAGTCCACCATGAAGAAGATAAATATTCTTGGCAATCCAAACCAGGCTTCCATTTGTGGAATGATTCCTCCACTTCTAAATGTGGCTACTTTGAAACAAGCAACATTCATCTGTATGTGTAAAATATTGCATTGAAAGTGTCTAGCACATATGCAGTGGGAGATTTATTAATTCAGCTGTTGAATTAATGGAAAATGTTGCACAATATTACCATACATCCCTATGCATAGTGTGTACAGACACACATAATTTCAAATCTGTACATACACATTGAAAAAAGGATTTATGAACCATATGGGAGGGAAGAAAAGACTGACTCAAATCTCTGCCAAGTCTAAAATTTTAAAAATGGTAAGGCAATTCAATTGTAGAAGCCAGGGTTCTCTAGAGAAACAGAATCAAGGCTAGGTAGATAGATAGATAGGTAGATAAGATAGATTTATTATGGGAGTTGGCTTATGTGGTTATGGAGGCTGAGAAGTCCCACAATCTGCCATCTGCAAATTGGAGAACCAGGACAGCCAATGGTGTAATTTAGTATGGGTCTGAAGGCCTGAGAATAGGGCGTCTGATAATGTAGGTTATAGTCTGAGTCTGAAAGTCCAAGAACCAGGAGCAATGATGTCTGATGAGAGGAAAAGACGGATGTCTGAGCCCAAGCAGAGAGAGGGATTCACTCTTCCTCTGCCTGTTTGTTCTATCCAGGCCCTCAAAGAGTTGGATGATACCTACCCACACTGGTGGTGGTGGTGGTGGTGGTGGTGGGGTTATCTTCTTTACTCACCCAGCTATTCAAATGCTGATCTCTTCTGCAAACACCCTCATAGAAACTTAGAAGTAATGTTTTACCAGGTATCTGGGCATCCCGTAGCCCAGTCAAGCTGACATATAAAATTAATCATCAAACATTTACTTGGTGGACTTAAAAAAAAAAATCCCTAAATAAGTGGATAGAATTTAAGGGCAGATGACCTCCACCTGGGAAGCATCTTTGGGAATGACTTGATAACCTTTGCTGCAATCCAGTGAAATTGTTGCAGCCAGTTGTTCCATTTTCTGCTTTTTCTATCCCTGGCTCAGCTCTGAGAAGTTGGCATCTATCTCACCAATGTCTACATGACCAAGTTCTAAGGGAATTTAGGCAAATGGGTCATTTATTGCACATCAGTGCAGGAATGCCTATGATAATTCATTAATGACACATGTAAAACAGATTGGTAAAGGATTCTTTCCTTTCAGCCCTTTCAAAGAATCCCAGCCAGCCATCAGAGGCACACTGTCCCACGCTGTGACATTTTGTAACAAATACAGATCAGTGCTTACAAACATAGACTCCAGAACCAGAATGCCTGCATTCCAAAGTGAGTGGATGACTGAGTTAATGAACAATTGTGATTACATTGAAGCATCGCTTTGCTACTACTATGCTTCTCCGCCTTTATTTTGTTATGCTTGTTATTAGTAGTAGTATTAAAGTTATACATGCAAATAGTTCAAAGAGCCAAATAGTTATGTATGTTTTATTACGATAGAGCAGCAATTCCTATAACTTTCTCCCCCATTATCCTTCTGCATCCTTTCATCTCTTTCAGTTTATAATTTTGGTATTTAACTCCTTATCTTTAAATGGTAATTGTACATGGCTACTTCTTTACTTTAAATTCCAGTTGGCTTTCCACAATGAAAGATGAGGATTTAACAGTCTTTCCTCTCTCAAGTCTCCAAGAGACATGCTCATCCTTCTCATTTCCCCATTTTCTCAATGGAGTATTAGTGTATCTCTGGTTAGATCAGTGATCAGAGTTTAGGTGATTATGATTACATACAGAGATGTGTTATGTGATATAGAGAGATGACCCATGTAGTGAGCTGTACTATGTACCCAGATCTCCTACATAACATTTTCATTCCCAAGAATAGTGTCATTTTTATTGCTGAGATTTTTTCCTCAACTTCTCATTAATTCAACTTCAGATTCCTTATCAACTAAATAAATCCCCTCCCAAGGCAGCCAGATGCATCAGAAACTAGGGCCGGCCCGGTGGCACACTGGAGAGTGCGCCGCTTGGGAGCGCCGCGGTGCTCCCACCGAGGGTTCGGATCCCATGTGGAGACCGGTTCCCGCTCACTGGCTGAGCGCAGTGTGGGTGCAACACCAAGGGTTGCGATCCCGTTACCGGTCAGTAAAAAAGACAAAAAGGAAAAAAAAAAAAAAGAAATTCTATCAGCTCACTCTCCCTGAAGAAGTCTCTCCCAGGGTCTCCCGATCCACTCTAATCAGAGCTGGTCCTGGTCTATATCTGAGGTACAACTGACGTTCCTTCAGCAGCATCCTGGAGATTTCCTATGCTTTTCTCCTCTGCTGGAGCTCTAGCCTTCTGTATTCCATTTCTTCTTCCTTCCTGATTTATTCCTTCACTTAAAAATCCATTTCATTTTCCTAAAAACACTTGAGGAAAGATATATGACAGGTACATTTTTTGAAACCTGGAACTTGTGCAAATGTACACCCTCACACTTGATTGATCAGAACGTCTGCACTGCCTTAAAGCATTTGACAAATCCAAAACTGTTCTGATTCTTCAGCCCATATGACCTGCTGCTCTTCTCTGGAAGCTGATCAGATGTGAAATTTGTTTGGTATGTGTCTGTTTCTATCCATTGCACTGTGCCTTTGGTAGGCTCTTTCAGTGTGTGTGTGTGTGTGTGTGTGTGTGTGTGTGTGCGTGCGCCATCTTTACCTAGAAGTTCAGGTCCTTGTCTTTTCCAAGTCTTTCAAAATTATATAAATTAGAAGGAGATCAGCTAGGCACAGTGCAAGACCATGGATGAACAAATCTGGAGCCCCTCCCTTCAGCCCCCTCTCGTTGTTAATGACACCATCACTTCCCAAACCTCTCGCTGACCTGTTTTTGCACACAAACTCACTTTGCTCACCTGTGTTGGACTTGGCACTGCTATGCACAGGCAGAGAGAAGCAAGGTCCCTGAAGAGGCGGCAGAAACTCAGAGCTTTTACACAAGGCCAGAGATAGCATTAAGGCTTCCCAAGAGGAAGAAGTCCTCCACAATGCACAGCACTGATTTCAAAGCATGGAAGGAAGAGAGTAGAATCCCTCACATGCCCAAACTCATTAGTAGAATAATGCTACTTCTGACCCAAGACAGGAGGGACAGAACGTTCCAGCCTCCGCAAGACACATGGAGCAGAGAAGTTAAGGCCAACCACCAGCCACATCTCTAAGAAGTGGGGAACAGCAGGGTGCAGGCAGCAGGAGTGGTCTGCCTCGATGCAGGCAATAAGGCAGGACGCTGTCTGCAGAGAATGTAAAAGCAGTAACAAGGTTGTTCTGCTTTTTGTTATCCCTACGCACTGCCACTTCCACACAACATCAGGGACAGAATACTCTTCCCACTGCTGCAGACTGCCCCAACACCCCACTCCCTGCACGTCACCATTCCCAGGCAGCCCACAGCAGCCCAGTTACCTGTGGATGATGTGGTATCTCTGCAGGTACTCCAGGGCCAGAGCCAGCTCACAGATGTAGAGCTTCACAGTCCCCTCCGTGAAGTGTACGCTCTGCTGCAGGTGGTAGCGCAGGTCCCCTCCCAGCAGCAGGTCCACCACCATGAACATGTCCTCCTCGTCCTGGAAGGAGTACCTGGGAACACAGAGGGACAGGGAATGTTAGGGGGTGGAGGCACCTCGAACATCCTCAAGACCAATGCCCCCATTTTACAGAAGAGCAAACTGAGGCTCAGAGAGAGAATTGATGTTGCCTAAGTCTGAGAGAGGGCACTGATGTTGCTATAGGAGTAGAGGGTAAGGGGGAAAAGGGTTTCAATTCCCAGGCTGTCTCCATAGTGTTGGGGTTTCCTCATTCCTCATGTAGCAAAAGCAACCAGGAGTAGCCAGTATTAGTGTCCAGGCTGTGGCAGACATTTTATTTAACTAGTACTTCACTGCAACATGTTACTTCGGCTGCTTTTAGCACATGTGTTAATTAGATGTTGTCAGGACTTGTAGTCTCTGATCTTCAAAGATGCATCCTCCTCCCAACAAGTCCTTTGTTCCCTGTACATGCATGTCATTCCCCACATACAGCTTGTTTCTGCAAGCCTTGAATGCAGTGATGTTCTGGGATGCCCAAGTCCAGGCCTTAAGGGAACTGGCAATTTCTATTTCCTGGCTTTTGGAACCTGGCCAGAACCCAAGCCATATGGAAAAACGGTGAGAAGGAAAACCATGGTGCTCTTGTTAACACAGCCCTGGCTGAGCTCCCAGTGACAGCCATGTGAGTGAGCCCCCCTGGACATCTGGATATTCCCCTGAGACCTAGCTGACATCACACAGAGCAGAACTGCCCAGAACCTAGTCAACCCACAGGACATGAGATAACAAAATAATAGTGTTTTTAAGCCACTAAGTTTTAGGGTGGTATCTTATTTTGTTTTGTTATGTTTTCCCCAAGGCAAAAGAAAACTGATGGTGTTCTGAACTCATTTTTTAAAAATGCATTTGGGCTTCCTGGGGACCAAAGAGGCAACATATAGAATCTGAGAATGTTGTTAAACAATCATGGAGTAGTGTCACGACATCATAAAATGTTGTCAAGTTCCTTATAGATTCATGGAATGTAATAATGGAATCATGATTACAGAATGTTGTCGTGGAAGTTTAGACCTGTGTCTTAGATCCTCGGATATTAGACCTGGATCAGCCAAGCCATTTTCTTCATTTGACATAAGAGGAAACTGAGGCCCAGGAGGGACTGGGTGAATCAGTGTTAGGGAGGGGACAAGGACCCAGATCCCTGCCCTTCATTTACTCCAGTGCTCTGATGATCACCCAGTGTTGGGATGTTGCTAACATACACACACACACACACACACACACACACACACACACACACTGTTTCAGTAACCTGGGCATGCAGCCCAAGGGAGGGGCCTGGCACAAGATTCAGTCACAAGAGCGGTTGCAGAAGCATGAGCTTACAGGATGGGGAATTTCAGGGCTGGAAAGACCTTAAATGCCATCCAGTCCTGCCAGCCCCATATTCCAGATTGGGATCCAGGAGAGAGGAAAGGGCTGGCCAGATGTCCAAGTCCTCCTAGTATCTCTACCCACTGTTTATAATTGTTCAGAATCAAGACAGGGAAGGGGAGGCTCTCTATTGTGCCCCGAATTGTGAATACTAGATGTTTCCATAACACCTGCCTGTGACAGACCACCTCGAGTTAGCTCCCACCCCACCCCAGCCAGACCACTACAGGCATTGGGCTGCGTGCTGGGCATACTTGAGTCCTCGTCCTGAGGGAGTGCACAGTCCCCTGGGAGAGGAGGGCTGAGCCAGTGGCTACTGGTGATGCAGGACCAGGTGCTCGGATTCTTTCTGGGCAGTCGTGGGGCACAGGGAGGGAGGAAGTCACCTCTGCAGCACGTGGGCTGGTGGGAGGCATCAGGAAAGTCTTTGCCTATGAGGGTACATTGGGTCAGGAGCACACAGCAGGGAAGTGACTTAGAGGGGTAGCATGACCCGGGAGGGCTGGGGGCAGGCTCATGGCCCATTATTCTCCAGCTGAGTGAGCAGTGGTGGGCCCTCTTTGGGGGTCACCATTTTGACCAGGATGGGCAAGAGCAAAATAAAATACAGCCCTGGACCTTCATGGAAAAGAGACGGAAATAAATCCTCATAGGATGGAATGATGAGTCTTTCATGACTGACACATACATGGTGTTGTGGGAGTACAGGGAAAGGGGCCTCCATGTTGAGAAAGTTTCTCGCTCCTTCCTAAGCAAAGCCCCCAGGGGTATCCAGGGGTTCTCCAGACATCCCCCATCCTTCTGGGTAATGGGTTCAAGGCCACCATTCCTAGAAGTTTCAGTGAGGAAATTTTTGTTTTTCCATAAAGCTTTATTTTTTAAATTGTTTTATTACATTTTTATTATATTTTGTTATGTCAAAAATGTAATACATACGGAAAAGTATACTCTAATTTCTATCCTGCTTCAATGATCTAGTTGCCTGTCACTGGGTCAACACCACTCATTCATTCAACAAACACCCACCGGGTGCCTCCACAGGCTGTGCGGGGCCTGAGGGATGGGCGTAAGCACAGCAGGCTGGGGGTGTGTGTGTCTTCCTCGTATGGAACTTAGATCCTCGTGCAGGGAACAGACAGCCAGTCAAGGAATAAGTTCAGAGGCGACAAGGACCAGGGAGAAACAAAGTCACGAGAAGGAGGCTGGCTGGGGTGTGGTGGGGGCGAATTTGAGGTGGTCTGGGAGGCCCTCTGAGGAGAGGCCTCTTGAGTTGAGACGGCCATGAGAAGACAGGGGAAGGGGCAGTGTGGAGAGAACATTCTAGGCAGGGGAATGGCAAGTGTGAAGGCTCTAAGACAGGAAAATGTGGAGAGAGTGTGAGCATAGAGAGAAGCCACCACAGCCAGAGGAGGGTTGGTGGGACAGACAAAGCCTGAGCTGGTGGGCCTTACAGCGGAGGGAGGGGCTTTGGATTCTAGTTCCAGGAAAATGGAAGGTCATCTGAGATTTTGGGCTGGGGAGTGACCTGGCCTGCTTTGTCTTTTATGAAGATTTCTCTGGATATGGGACAGAGAATGGGTATGAGCAGGGCACTAGGAATGAAGTCAACAGGATTCCCTGCAGGACTGGAGGTGGGAGGTGGGCTCACAGACATCCCTCTGGTGCTGGGGGTCCAGGACTCTGGACCTCCATTCTCTCCCATTCCCCATCTCCAGCGCCTTGGCCACTGTCCACCCAAGAGGGCTTTATTGGTCTGTTTCTGTTGCTTATAACAGAATACCTGAAACTGGGTAATTTATAAAGAAACAAAGTTCATTTCTTATAGTTTCAGAGGCTGGGAAATCCAAAGTCCAGGGAACACATCTGGTGAGGGTCTTCTGGGGGGTGACTGTGTACAGCATCTCAGGATATCAAAAGGCAAGGAATGTGCTGAGCACGAGAGAGCTGACTTTCTCACTTGCTCTCCTTATAGAGCCGTCAGAACCACGCCCATTACTCCAGGAATGGATCAGTCCACTCACAAGGGCTCAGCCCTCATATTCTAATGGCCTTTTAAAGGCCCCACCTTTCAAATACCATAATCGAATTTCTCACCCTCTTAGCACTGTTACAATGGGGGTCAAGCTTCAGTGAGTTTTGGGGGGACATTCATCTACAGTAAGTGGTGACCTGGACCAGCTTGGGTCCCTCCTGTTTCAGCCTCACCTCAGGCCTGAGGGGGTGGCTGTCTACTCAGGCAGGAGAGAGGTGAACCAGGGGCTTGCAGGGTGGTCCAGGACCCTCTGGAGGGCACCAGATGGACTTCAGATCTGTTTCAGTACAAGTTATCCTCAATCTTGTGGAGTAACATTTATAAAGCAAATGTATTTCACAGGGCCTAGCTTCCAAGACCCTGTAATTTCAGGTATGGCGTAACTTTTAAAATTACACATAGGAATGTTAAGCTTGCAAAAGACAGGAAACTTTCCCCAGGCTAAAGTCTCTGTTGTAAATAAAAAATTGTAACACAGCAAAATTGCTGGCTCCAAGGGCAGATGTCCTTGGTGCAGGTTAACCTACTGATCAGTGTGTTGAGAAAGTTGCTTGACTGTTAAGTAAATATACTGAGGAAATTGCTGTAGGAAAAGAAAGTGTTTGCTAAGAACAAGCTTTTGCTGGTGGACCAACTTAACTTTTTACAAATTAATGAGTGTTGCCATGACAATTATCTTACTGTTCTTTTTGTAACCACCTATGTTCCTTTTCTGTAACTTTCTGCCCTGGAAAATAACTACTGGGAGAAGACCCCAGTCCAGTGTTATTTTTCCAAGGAGGAATGCCTCTCTCTTGAGGGTTCCTGGAAAATTAACCCCTTCGGGGCTTCTCACTGCTCAGATGAAATGGGCTTTGAGTGATCCTTTGTGTCTCCATCACCCCTGGGGGAGAGGTGATAAGTCTGGCACATGATCTCTGCTCCAACTGATGTGTTGCAGAAACAGCTGAATGTCAACAAAAAGGTTAAAGATGAAGCTTTCCTAGGAGCCCCACAGGCTGGGGGCTCTGACCTTTTCCAAACACACTTGTTCCTAGTTCGGCCATCCATCCGGTTAACGGTTCTGGGCCCATGCAAGAACCAGCTGGAAAATCAATCAAGGAAGCTCTTGACACACTGGAGCCTGGCGGGTGCTAATTGACAGGCTTGATACCTGACCTGGTAAACATCTCTCTGTAATCTTGTTTTTCAACACTGTTTTAGCAATTTCTGTACCTTTTCCATAAAAATTTTAGAATAAATGTGTCTACTTTCTTGAAAAACCTTGCTTTGATTTTTATTGAAATTATAGTGAATTTACAGATTAATTTAAAAAGAATGAACATTTTTATAATATTGAAACTTTTAAACCATAAACATAAAATACCTATTTATTCTGGTCTTCGTTTAGGTTTGTCACTAAAGTTTTACTATTTTCTACTTTAAAGTCAAGAGTTTTAAAGTAGTTTTATCATTATTGTAAGAACAACCTATAAAAAAAGGCTTACTAATTGGTCATTACTACTTTGGAATCGCATATGTTTATCCTGTATCTAGAAGCTTTGCTGGTCTCTTTAGTTATTAGTTTTGATATTTTTTGCACTGGTGCTCTGGGTTTGCTTATTTTATAAAGATGACTATATTGTCTACAAAAAAACTGCCATGTTTCTATTATTCTAATCCTTATGCCTCTTATTTCTTTTTCTTATTTTACTTCACTATCCGGAGCCTCCAGTGACATTCCAGTGGATTATAAGGGGGGAGGGTTTGCATTTTTATCTTGTGCTGAACTGTAACGAAGTGTTTCACCATTAAGTAAATTGTTTGTTGTATTTGATGAATATCATTTATCCAGTTAAGAAAGCTGCTTTCTGTAGCTATGGATTATTATCATGATCAGGTGAAGGGGCTTTTTTAAAAAAATATTAAACTGTTTTTGCCTTTCTAGACTAAACCCTACCTATTGATAAACATATATATTTTACTAAACTCAAGTTGCCAATATTTTATATAGGATTTTTCCATCTAATGTTCCAAGTGACACTAGCCCTTATTTTTCTACCTGCCATTGTCCCCATACAGTTTGAGTGTCATGGTAATATTGGTCTCCTAGGGTGAAGCGGTTGCTGATCCCCTCTTGTCTGCACTTAAGAAGAGTTTTTGAGAGGCATCCATTGTACAAAGTCTGGTATCAGAATGCTCTCCATTCCCCTACTTCTGATCCCTTGGGGCTCTCTTTCCTCACTTAATGGGCTGCTGCTGGTGCTGCCAGATGACTCACACTCCTACTCCTCAACAAAGATGAGCAAAAAAAAAAAAAATGTACCATCTGTGGACACTGGTGTGGGTTCAGGGATGGGCCTGTGATTCACCAGGACCATTCAGGGTAATCCCTGGGATTGGTATGCGGATGTTGAAAGAAAAGCCCCCTTCCTCCAGGCTTGCTTGGCTACAGGCTGTGACTAGGGGGCTTCCCGGTATCCTGTTGCCCAAAATGTGTATAAGCTGCACCTGCAGATTGAAGCTGCAGAGAGTCAGGCAGGGCTGAGAGGGGACCTTGTGATTAATGCTGGGTGTCAACCTGGTGAGATGAAGGAATACCGAGAAACCTGGTAAAGCTATCTTTTTGGGTGTGTCCATGAGGGTGTTTCCAGAAGAGATTAGCATGTGGGTCTGAGTGGACTGAGTGGGAAAGATCTACCCTCAATGTAGGTGGGAACCGTCCAATTCTCTGGGGGCCTGGAGAGGACAGAAAAGGAGGAAAAATGCGAATTGCTCTCTATCCGCTGGGGCTGGGATACGCTCTGCTCTCCTGTCCATGGGCATCGGAGCTCGAGACCCTCCAGCTTTTGGGTTCCAAGACTTACACTCAAGGCACCATCGGCTTCCCTGGTTCTGAGGCCTTCAGACTGGGACTGAGCCAGGCTACCTGCATCCAGTTTGCAGACGGCCTGTCGTGGGGCTCCTCAGCCTTCACGATTGTGTGAGCCAGTTCCCCTAATAAATCCCCTTATGTACTTATATACATATCCTATTGGTTCTCTCTCTCTGGAGCACCCTGACTAGTACAGACCTGTTGGAGGTGCTGGCTCCAACCTGGCCAGAAGAAAGATCCATCCCTGAACTTCGTATTTGCATGGGCTATGACTATTTTTTTGTTTGTTTTTTTGACTTAAGCTACTTTACATTATGCTTCTGTCACTTGGAACGGAGAGAGTCATCTGATACACAGTTTTATGTATTTGCTACTGCATAGAAGGATTTAGATGCCCAAAAAGAAGCCACAGGAATTAAATATAATATGCCTCCTACGGGTGCTCAATTTATATTCCAACAGTTGATGGACTATTGGAACATTGCATTAATAACCAGTGAGCTTCACACTCTAAATAAACTGTCAAAGGATATCTCATTCAGTATTCCATCAGAACTCTTTGGAGGAGCAGCATGAACTTTGAGGGGGAAACTTGCAGAATGAAATGAATTCTAAAGAGGAAAACAAAATGCAAAGAGAACAGTAATTCAAGCCATAATTCAGGTTGTGGCTTCTTCTCGCTGCAGAGACGTATTCTGCCCTGGGCCACAAACCCTTCATTCCCAAGGAGACTTGATGTTATTACTGGAGAAAAGAGAATGACCTTTCATTCATCTCTCTGCAGTTTTGTGCTGCTCCACAGCTTTGTGCATTGTCCCTTTTGCGTCATCTTATACTAGAATCATAATTAGTTCTCGTAATAGTGCTGCACATTGTCATGGAAATGATGGAGATCACAAATGAGAAACCTACACTCCACCGCAGCCACTCTGACCTGTGGAGACATCTGGAGAATGAGGCTCTCCTTGCAGGAGCAAAGAAGCCTGTGAGCTGTGAAGGCGTCAGTCCTGCCTGCCTACTGCAATAGACCAGCATGAAGAATGCAATGTTCATTTTTTTTTAATTTAAAAAAAGTATTAATTTCCTACTTTGTTCTAAAAGAGATTTAAGTGACTTGTGAAATTCATACAGCATAAAAAAATTAAAAATAAGTAAGCCAACGTTCAGGTCAAAGAATAAAAAAGGAACCCAAGAAAATGGAAGCAGGCAAAAATATCCCAATTTATGCCCAAAGATCCTATATACTTGCCTATAGTGAGCCATAAATCCATCTCTAGCCTTCCCAGCACCCAGAACAAAGAGAGAAATATAATCGACTTTCAACTTCATGATTCAGGGTTGATATAAGAAGAAAAAAAAAATCAATCGTATAGAAAAAGCATATTTCTTTTCCTGGCATTGAAACCAGAGGGAAATTTCTTTTACTGGATTCTTATAAAGATGAGGTTCTGTAATGTGGTGAACAATGTGTCTGCAGAAAATAACTCTAAACAGAGTAACAAGTTGAGCAGGGGTTTTTTGTATGATGTCCCTCAAGGTGGACTGAAGGCATAAAAGGCACAATTCCATAAAAACAATGTCACACGGGGCAGAAGCAATGCAGCCTGTGTGTCGCACTCAAGGATCTATCCAAGGGTGAATTTAGATGAGGGCAATGGGTGGATGCTCTTTGGGACCATTTCACAAAGGCGAGCTTGGGCACAGGCCAGCACACACTCAGGAGGCTTTGGGCCCTCGCTGGACGCTGAGGATTAGTGGGCTCACCTGAGTTTGGGACATTCATCAGGGAGCCTGGACCTGAATGTCATGTGCATGACAAGTCCCCAGGATGTGCCCACACTCTCACCACCGCACATTCACTCACGGCACCCGTTATTCCTGGAGGACCCCCTCTCTCTGCCCTTGCCCATCTTCACAGCTCAGTTTCCAGCAGGGCTCTCAACAGGGAGCAGTTTTGTTCCCCAATGTGTACAATGTGTAAAGACAGTTTTATTGTCACAACTGGGAGGGGTGCTACTGTCATCTAGCGAGTAGAGGTCAGGGATGCTGCTAAATATCCTACAAGGCACAGGACAGCCTCCAGCACAGGGAATCATCTGGCCCCACAAGTCCATAGTGCCGAGGTTTAGGCTGATGCTCCGCTCTAAGAAGTCTTTCCAACCCTGGAACTCTATAATAATAATAGTTAACACTGATGTGGTGCTTATGATAAGCCAGACACCGTTCTAAATACTTTATGTATATAAACCTACTAAATTCTCCCAACAACGCTTTCAAAGAGGCTTCAAAAAGTTCACGGAAAGATTCATATTATCTTTTAATTCTATTTCCCATGAACTTTTTGAAGTACCCTCATATTATAAACAGCCTTTGACAGCTCAGGACATCAAGGCTCAGAGAGATTAACACAGCTGAGAAGACACAGCCAGGAAATGGCAGAGCCGGGAGTTGAACCGAGACAGTCCATCTCCAGAGTCCAGAATCCATGCTCGATGCCCTGGTAGCATTTTCCGTACGGCACTGTGACCCTCTCTCTACTGGACTCTCCTCCCCACCAGCTAGTGACTCTCTAAGCCTGGGAACTGTCTTGTTCAGCACTGTCTCCCTGCTTTCAGCACATCACCAGCAGCATCACACACTCAAGAATGAATGGGTCCAAATGCCCAGAGCACCCACATCCTGAGCGGCATACTAGTCAGGTATGCCCATTGCAGAAGCGAGGGGCTGCACAGACAAGAAGATGGGGTGGAGGGCTGGTGGGGGAGGAAGGCTCTGAGTCAGGTCCTGGGCATGCCTCTTATGGCACTACCTACAGGAGCCCCCTTTTTCTCTGGCCTTCTCTTGTCACAGTGACCAAGAACTCTTGTTAGCCTAAGAAGGACTCCACGGCTTCTCTCCACAGCCTTCTCCATCCTGAGTAGGAGCAGAAGGGGCCTGTCTAATGAGCAAGTTCAGAAGGAGCAGGGTCTGTGCTCGGTGCAGCCCCTGCTGCAGGACCTGCCACTCCTGTCTGCTCTCTGCTGTGGCCTGGCCAGTGAAGGGTGACCACCCTTTCCTGTGGCGTGGGGGTGATTCTGTTTCAGAGTTAAAGAGTTGGCAAGCCCTTCAGGATGCAGATCTAAAGCAGGGTTCTCCAATGAACTGTGTCAGCAATGGAGCCAATTCTTCTATCTCCACCTGTCGGACTCTTGTCTGT